CCCCCCCTGACGTGGATGGTGTCCCTAGGGGATCCGATGCTGTCTTAGGGTAGATGGTGTCCGAACTGAGCTGAACTGTAGGACACCCTGGTGGTGTTTGAGGTCAGCCGGCAGTGTGATAAACCCCCAGTACACACACTGGATTTGGGTGCAGAAGACTGGAACCTCATAAATGTTCTTGGGGATCCAAACGTTTATTTGAACTGTTTAAAGTACAACATTGTACCTTAGAACCTGGGTCACGTGTGTCGCTTTCCTTTGAATCGTTGTGTAGATGATTCAGGGCGTGTGCTGGTGTGAGGACCAGCGGGTGGTCGATGCGGGTTTCCTCCCGTGGTCCTCAGCTTTCCCCTCCTCATCCGGCCTCACCACAGGTCAGGAGTCTTCTCCCCCACCGGCATCATTCCCCCGTGCTCTTGTCTTCCCAAGCCCACGAACCTCACAGAACTGTCGGGAAGGGTTCTTATCGGTAGACAATCGGTGCAGCTCAAACTGTTCTCCACAAGGCTACTGGGAATCAGAAAGCAGGAAAGTCCTGTGGAATTTCTGACCATGCCACTTCCAAAACTAGGGGTTGGGTAAAGGAGAGATTTGAGGCCAGTGGAACGTTCTGAGATCCTTATTACTAAACCACGGAGATAATCACCTTGCTCTCTAAAAGGAGGGGGTGGGTGGTGATGGGGGAGCGTGAGCTTGACATGAGACGGCCCTGGGATTACAGCTCAACCTCACTACTGCTTGAATTGCGTGAAACCGGACACTGTGCTTAGTATTTTTGAACCTCACGGTTTTTGTGTTTAATATGTGCAGGCTAACGTCACTTCCTTGGGGGTCTGCAAACGATGGCCCAGAGGCCACATCCGGCCCACCGCCGGTTTTTGTAAATAAAACGGTATTGGCCCATGGCCACACTCCCTTGTTCACAGATCACCACCGCCGGTTTTTGTAAATAAAACGGTATTGGCCCACGGCCACACTCCCTTGTTCACAGATCACCTGTGGCTGCTTTTGTGTCATCATGAGAGCTCAGTACTTGGGTGAGGCCGTGCGGGCCCCGAAGCCAAAACTATTTGCTGCCCAGCCCTCGACTAAACAGTTGATTGTGAGCCACTCTAGCAAATTAACTGAACATAGGACAGCTGTATGAATAGAAATAGAATGGTCGTCAAGCACACCAAAGAGCACCAGGTGTACACCTGGAGAAAACATTAGGTGGATTGGTCTTGCTGCAGCAGAGGGAAATGTGCCCTGGAGAAACAAGCATATGGAACAGTGGAAATCCAGGGAGGTTCGAATAGGGTCTGCCGCTCCCGGGGTTCAAGATTCAGCTGGAGGAACAAATTGAAGGGGGGGAAAAGTGATTGAAAGCTGGGAGAATATGGATATGCTGAGGACGGTTTGTTTCCGTACATCATGGGAAATCATCTCTGAGGATGGCAGGTGGGGACTTTGGGAGGTCAAAGGGTTGTACCCGGCACGGACAAGGAGCGTGGGCTGGTGCATTCTGAGCTAACGGGGTCTGAAACGTACTGACGAAGGAGCCCGACAGATTGTAGGAATTAAGAAGGGCACAAATGGGAAAGATGCCGCTACATTAAAACAGCAAAATAGAAACAACACTAAAACCAGAGCCAGATCGTGCCACAGCACAGCGACGGAGAAGAAACAGCCTAGCCTAGGGTGGTGGAAATCAAAGTTTGAATTACCTGATTCGGAAGAATGTTTCCTGGTGTTCTGTTCGATTAGAGAGTTTCTCTGAGTGCCACTGCGTGTGGGACATCTGAGGCTTGGGATCATTCTGAACCACGTTTACACTGTCCTTGCTTTGCAGTAAGTACGCGGTGAATGCAGTGTTGACACTGACCACGGGGGAAGATCATGTTAAGAAATAGCAGTGACTATGCACACGTACTCAGTCTCGTCTTTCCTAAAGCATCCCCTCTCCTACGGCAACCGTCCCGTCCCATTGCTATAACTCTTGTTCCCAAGACACTCTTTGGTTACTTTTCCAAAGAATAGGCAGCAGCAGCTTGTGAGACGCAAACAACTCCTTCCCTCCTCCCTGTGTGTTCTCTCCTCGACGATGTCCTGTGAGCGAGCCTTTGGGAGCACTCTGCACTGTGTGTGGGATCACGTGCACACCTGCCTGGTGGTCTTGCAGGAGCCCCGGGTGCCTGAGCTTTGTATGTACGGCCTCTGGCTCACTGCCTGATGCTTAGGAAGTGGTCACTAAGTACTGACGGGAAAGCATGAATGAGTGAATCAATGCACCCTTCAACTCCATTCCCAATCTAATGTATCACTGCACTGCATTTGCCGACTCCTAGTATTTCATGTACAAAGTCGACTGAACATTTAGGGCCTCGCTCCGGGCATTGATGTCTAATGCTGGTACGTCTATGAAAAGCTCTCTGTGTTGTTCCCAGGCCAGTTGGTATTTTCATAGTATTTCACTTACTTTCTTCACAGCTACAAAAAATACATATATAATGAAAAATACCAGCCATACCTCTTTTAAATCAGAGCAGCTTTCCCGCCCAGCGAACGTGTACTGATTACCGATTCTTTCTGACCAGGAAATCACAATGTTGTACTTTGTTGCAGAAGAGCAGCCTGGGAAAACCAGAAAGAGCGTGATGCACATGCAGCCTCCTTTCCAGCAACGACGGCCCGCGCGCCTCCTGGAAATCGGAGCCCCCTTCTATCAAGACAACCAACTGCAGGTGAAGGTCTACTGGAAAAAGACCGAAGGTGCGCATACATTCTCTGATGATTTGTTATCTGCATCAAGTAGCCCAGCGACATCAGGTGGCTAGTGAAAAAGTCAAGGTTGAGCCATGGTGTTGACAGTTTTTTTTAAAGATTTATTTATTTTAGAGAGAGGGAGAGAGAGAGAACATGAGCGAGGGGAGGGGCAGAGGGAGAGGGAGAATCTAAGCAGACTCAATGATCAGCACAGAGCCCAATGTCGGGATCGATCTCATGACCGTGAGATCATGACCTGAGCTGAAACCAAGAGGCAGACGCTTAACCGACTAGCCACCCAGGCGCTCCCACCACCGTGTTGATATTAAGGAAAATAGAGCCCGAACAAAACATTTAGATCCTTTTTTTTTAAATGACTTGCTGTTGTGAAGTCTGAGTGAGCTGCCCCTTCTTTGCCAGGAATCCGCATCATGTTTGGAAATGAGCATCGGTCAGCCAGTTGCATTTTATCGTCTCAGGGATGTTAGCCTGTCTTTACTGCTTTCCCAGAAGGCCATTCTTGTCTCCCAAATAATCAAGATACTCATTATTCTACACTGTAAATTTTTGTTCTAAATTAGTTTTTTGTTTAAAAAAAGATGCACAGTGGAGCACTGGGTGTTATGAACAAACAATGAATCATGGAACAGTACACCAAAACAAATTATGTGATATATGGTGATTAACATAACAATAAAAAAATAAAAAAAATAAACCAAAAAAAAAAAAAAAGATGCACAGGAGCGCCTAGGTGGCTCAGTCGTTAAGCGTCTGCCTTCGGCTCAGGTCATGGTCCCAGGGTCCTGGAATTGAGCCCTGCATTGGGCTCCCTGCTCATTGGGAAGCCTCCTTCTCCTTCTCCCTCTGCCTGCCGCTCCCCCTGCTTGTGCTCTCTCTCTCGCTCTCTCTCAAATAAATAAGTAAATAAAATCTTTTAAAAAAAGATGCACAACCCCAATAACTTGGAAAATAGAGAAAGAAGTCACTTACTTCAGTACTATCTCTTAGAAACGGCGTTTTGGCAGATGTCCTTTTGAAAGTTTCCTACACTTCTGTTCTTCCCTCATTTGTTTTTATTCACACAGATATATAATATTTTTATGTAGAACATACGCACTTTCATATAACATGGGAGCATTCTGCGTTATCCTGTATTTGTGGTGCCATGTTTAACTCGCTGCTGTGTAGGGACACACAACAATATCCTAAAACACCATCATTCCACTACAGCCAAACTCTTGGAGGCCTTCAGAGTTTCCATTTTACAGTTAATACTGCAAGGAAGATTTACCCTTAGAATTAATTCTGTTTGAGTATTTGTTTGTATAGTTGTCTTTAGGATAAATTCATTTCCTTTGGTTTTCTTTATTAAGATTTTTTTTGTGTTATTGAAATAGTATTTTTGGAATTATCTGATCTATATTTCCATGTTTATCACTCGTATGCCTTTGAAAACAAAAGAAAAATAGATTGTTTTAAGAGTTGGGTTTTAACAGTTCTTCCAGTTCTTCTGAAGTGCAGTGTTACTCAGGATATCAGCCCGTGTGCCGCACAGAATATCGGAGTTAGAAGGGCGCCTGGATGGCTCAATCGGTTGAGCATCTGACTCTTGATCTTAGTTCAGGTCTTGATCTCAGGGCTGTGAATTCAGGCCCCATCGTGGGATCCATGCTGGGCATGGAACCTACGTGTATAAAAAAAAAAAAGGAATATTGGTGTTGGAGTTCTTGTTCCAGAATTTTCTTCCAAGCTGCCGACATGCATTCTGCAGCTAAAATAATATTACAATGAATATTAATGTTTTATTACTCTCATATATATTAATTAAAACTAACTTGTATTTATTCAGTGTTATTTATTAAATTAAAAATTATTCATTAATATATATTCCTATTCCTAAGTTTAATAGGTTTTAGAATAAATATTAAATTACAAAGTTTATTCTATTTACCAATTTTAGATTAGAACTGTATATCATTGATATATCAATAGTAAAACATTGCCATAATATTGAAAATATAAACATCTTTTATAATGAAATAGAAATATAAACATTGAGAATACATCTTAAGCATACAAGAGCAAGCACTGCCATCATGACTTCTGAACGTGAAGGTTGGTTTTGCCGATATTTGAAATGTATACAACTTGAACCCATACGGTGTGTACTGGGCTTCTTGCAGTGAACACGATACAGGAAATGGGAAACGGACGCATTCTGTTGCAGGACGCACTAATTCATCCATGTCTAGTGCTGCTCCTAGCCCCTGGTAGAGCTCCACTGATGGCTCTTTTCAGCCGGTGCTGGGGGATTTGGTTTGTCCTGCTGATGGGCTCTGCAGCACAGTGCTGCTGTGAACACAGGCCTTTGATGTACATATTCTCCCGGACGAGGGGGGGACTCTTGGGTGATTCGAGCATGCAGAGCTTTGGAAGACACCGACAGTTTCCCACAGTGGTTGCACCGGCCATTCCCACTTGCAGGGCACGATTGTCCCAGTGCGCCCCCCCTCTCTCTGCCGTGTGCAATTCCCATCTTTTTGACTTGAGCTCTTCTGGCACCTGCGTTTTGATAACTCCGTGTTGTCTGAGCTTGCATTTTTTTTTTAAAGATTTATTTATTTATTTGAGAGAGCAAGAATGAGAGAGAGAGACAGAGAGTACATGAGAGGGGGGAGGGTCAGAGGGAGAAGCAGGCTCCCCGCTGAGCAGGGAGCCCGATGCGGGACTCGATCCCAGGAGCCTGGGATCATGACCTGAGCCGAAGGCAGTCGCTTAACCAACTGAGCCACCCAGGTGCCCGATTTGTAAATATTTTTAATCATAGTTCTCGTTTTTTTTACTTCATTTTCAGATTGTCTTGACTCTTCTTGGCCCTTTGTATTTTTATATCAGTATTTGCATCAATTTGCCAATCTCCACAAAACCTTTGTAAGATCTTTGTTGAAATTACAATCAATCTATATGGTAATGACTGCAAAATTCACATCTTAAAAATCTCCACTTGATGTATAACTTTATTCAGGTTTTTCAAATTTTCTCTGAACAGTGATTTATAATATATAATGCAGAGGTTATAATACTTTTAATATGATTATTCTAAGGCGTTTGTGTTTATTTTGATCCCTTTACATACATGCATACTTCTCCTGTTTTTTTTAATTTTATTTTATTATGTTATGTTTGTCACCATGCATCATTAGTTTTTGACGTAGTGATCCACAATTCATTGTTTTCATATAACACCCAGTGCTCCATGCAGTACTTGCCCTCCTTAACACCCATCACCGGGCTAACCCATCCCCCTGCACCCCTCCCCTCTAAAACCCTCAGTTTGTTTCTCGGAGTCCATCGTCTCTCATGGTTCGTCTCCCCCTCCGATTTACCCCCTTCATTTTTCCCTTCCTTCCCCTAACGTCCTCCCTGCTGTTCCTTATGTTCCACAAATAAGTGAAACCATATGATAATTGACTTTCTCTGCTTGACTTATCTCACTTAGCATCATCTCCTCCAGTCCCCTCCATGTTGATGTAAAAGTTGGGTATTCATCCTTTCTGATGGCTGAGTAATATTCCATTGTATATACGGACCACATCTTCTTTATCCATTCGTCTGTTGAAGGGCATCTCGGCTCTTTCCACAGTTTGGCTATTACGGACATTGCTGCCGTGAACATTGGGGTGCATATGGCCCTTCTTTTCACTACCTCTGTGTCTTTGGGGTAAATACCCAGGAGTGCAATTGCTGGGTCATAGGGTAGCTCTATTTTTAATTTTTTGAGGCACCTCCACACTGTTTTCCAAAGTGGCTGTACCAACTTGCATTCCCACCAACAGTGTAAGAGGGTTCCCCTTTCTCCACAACCTCTCCAACATTTGTTGTTTCTTGCCTTGTCAATTTTTGCCATTCTAACTGGTGTAAGGTGGTATCTCAATGTGATTTTTTTTTAAATTTTATTATGTTAATCACCATACATTACATCATTAGTTTTTGATGTAGTGTTCCATGATTCATTGTTTGTGCATAACACCCAGTGCTCCATGCAGAACGTGCCCTCTTTAATACCCATCACCAGGCTAACCCATCCCCCCACCCCCCTCCCCTCTAGAACCCTCAGTTTGTTTCTCAGAGTCCATCGTCTCTCATGGTTCGTCTCCCCCTCCGATTTACTCCCCTTCATTCTTCCCCTCCTGCTATCTTCTTCTT